AAGGAAGGTGGCGGGGCTGAAAGGGGGGCAAAGGGCATAATGCGACCAACAACAATTGTCACTGCCGGCTATGTCTACATGCTGCCGGGAAGGTGCAACCCTGCACAGGGGCTGTGCCCAGTGTTCCTGTGTACGGTGGCTGCAGCCTTTTGTTGGTGCAGGGATCTGTCGGTGCGGTGGGGGGTGAAGGTGAGACCCATTGCAGTGAAGCATGATGCCTGCGGAACTCTGAAATACTTGACGCGGTTGGCTTGGTGGCGGAGGCTCTGGTGTTGTGCTGAGCGACGGCACGCTAGTGTTCCCCGTGCAGGCCACAGACAAGGGTGGTAGGAACTTCCTGCTGTCCATGCGCCTCATGCAGTTAAAGAATCAATGGATGCTTTCGTCCATTACGATCGGTGGAGGGCTGCAGGGGCCCATCGATTTTGGAGTGGGGCAAAAACAAAAAAAACCTCCTCGCGGTGGCTCCCCTTGCGTGAGTGGCGCCTGCGAAGTGTACAAATCCGCTGAGACTGGAGGTAAAAACTGGTGTGTAAGCGGCGAACCGAGTACTGGTGTCTGAGGCACCTCATTGAAGCGTGAGCGAAAAGGGGGACGGCGTCCAGAGCGCCCCCACCACTGCAGACATCGCGGGAAAACAGGTGTTCCTCCCTCACCGCGCCGGTGCATTCAAGGAAAAGGGAAACATGGACAAAGAAAGGGCTCGGCTGCATCTTTGGGTTTACCGACAATGCCCGCGTGCATGAAGTTGGACCGATGTCAGGTGAGGAGGAGGACGCTGCAGCGGGTTCCCTGCCGTACAAAAGCGACACGAAGGAGCTGGTTGCACTGTAAGCGAAGAAGACTGGAAGTTCCTACGGCTTTGTCGCTGTGAGCCTGACTCAGCAGCTGGAGCAGATAAAGTCCGTGATGGGGGCGTTGGACTGCATTGGACGCCGCCTTGAGAATAAACTGTGTGTGCAAATGTCCTATTCCCTCACTGAGGGCTTCTTGGTATAGTGTCCGACACGTTGGATCAGACTGTGTGGGAGGACGAGTACCTCTGCGTGAACGAAGCAGCAACGAAGGGGGCAGTGACAGACACAGCGGGGGTATGTGAAGTTCAGCGGCGATGGAGCGGGGGCGGGGTGGCCCGTGGGAAAACTGGGGCAGAACCAGCCGTACTACTTTGCGAACACTGCGTTCGCTCTCGTGGCGACGGCGACCATCCACGCGGTGCCGGAGAAGGACGACACTCCTCTGCTGGGCGTGAGGATGGATGACGCAGCCAACACTGTGTTCTTTGGCCTGTCGTACACGAAGGACAGAAAGTGGAAAACCAAACTTCATAATGCTGCTGCCGAGGAGCATGCTGAGTCGTGGGCACCAGCCGCGGCAGTTCAAGTGGCGCTGCAAATGGATTGGAACGATTGATCTTTGTACGTTGGTAGGCAGAGGATTTACGGAAAGAAGTACAGTGGCGCTCTGTTCAACTCACACCGGATAACGCACTTCCTTTTCGGTATGAATGGCACGTACTCGGCTGCGGGCAGCCCCAACGTGACGGTGGCGAACGTCCTGTTGTACAGCCGCGTGCTGGGCGCGGGTGAGCTGCAGCGACTGCAACTCGGCAGCTGCACGATTCCGCCGCGGGTGCCGAGAGGGCGGTCGCGGCGGTGGTGCGGGGGCGGCTGCCGGGCCGCACGCCGAAGGCGGCGTTGCCAGCGACGCCCAGCCGACGGCGGTGGATGTTGCAGCCGAAGTCGACCACTGGCGACGCTTCTGTGCCTGCACGGCCTCATCCTCCACCACCACAGAACGCAGACGCTGGCTTGGCGTCCGGTGGGGGCAGGGGTGACGGGCACTTTGCGTGGACGTGTGTCTCGGGCAA